AAGGTTACTCTATTGTGACCTGACGGTTACGAGTTCGAGTCGCAAATACAATCTATCTAGTTGTAAAAATAGTACAAGTAAATGCAATTTAGGGCTTCTTTGAAGAATAAATATTCACAGAACAAATAAAGAAATGTGTGAAGCACATGAGTTTGTCTCCAGCGAAGACAACCTCCTTGTTCTACGGTATTAATGGGTTTAAGAAGACATGGAACCAACCACCTTCCCTTACAACTACTGCAAATTTGGTGTTCTTCTACTATATAAGAAATAGCAAGTGACAGGACAAGGTTTTATCTTCCTCTATTGACCACCACTTAAAATAATCCTTGATGAAGCTGTGTTTTCTTCACCAGGATGTTGCTGCACAATCACCAGGCATTCACATATTTACCATTTTTTTCTTTATCAATAACTGGAATCTGATCAACCAATGTCAAACACTAATCTAATTATCAATGAGATTATGCTCCAATAAATAGGTTATTCGATGGTATATCCAATGAAGATGAACTAGTGGTCCTGCACACAGTTATCCGTATATTCAATTTTAGAGTTGAGATTAGAGGAGAGTGAGAGAGAAAGATATGAGAGTTATAAAACCAAACTACTCAGCTCGGGGTGTCATCGACTCAGGCTTGTAGAATAGGCAGTTGCAAATTTATGCAGTTATCTCCTTCAACATCAGCTAAGACATTCTAACGATAAATATGAAATACCAACCCACGTTTTATTTAATGAAGTTGTTTGTCGTCCTTAATTTTGATGCAAATATGCAGACTTATTTGGTCACTTGGCATTTATGGTCAACAGAGGAGACAAATGCCAGATGCATAGTGATGTTACTGTTAACATTGATCATTGATCAAAAGGAAGAAAAGAGAGAGAAGTGAAGAATATTATTAAGACTAATCCAATTAGTCATACATCATTAATTAAAGATACACAATGTAGGCCCTTATATATTAGGGCAAAAAAAATAATATAAAATGCCTAAACTACCCATAATATAAATACTCTAACATCCCCCCTCAAACTCATGATGTGATAGCATCAAATATCAAGAGTTTGCCAAAAAGGAAACAAAAGCGCACGATGGTGTGAAATTTCGTAAAGAAATCTGCCAACTGCATAGTAGAAGGAAGAAAAGGGAGAGATATCGTGCCCAACTGAAGATGGTGACGCACAAAGTGACAATCAACCTCAATATGTTTTGTGCGCTCATGAAACACCAAGTTATGGGCAATCTGAATGGCACTGGTGTTATCACAATACATGGGAGTAGACGCAGAGAAGGAAATGCCAAGATCAGCAAGTAGCCAACGCAACCAAACGATCTCTACTGTTGTGGAGGCCATAGCACGATACTCAACTTCAGAAGAGGATCGAGCCACAACAGTTTGTTTCTTACTTTTTCATGAAATAAGAAAATCACCAAGAAAGAGACAGAAACCAGTTATGGACTTGCAATTCATAGAGTCACCAGCCCAGTCTGCATCAGAGTAAGCACGAAGCTCCAGAGACAATGAGAAAGAAAATAAAAAACTTTGATGCAATGCACCCCGCAGATATCGAAGAATCCGAATAATGGTAGACCAGTGAAGTGTAGTAGGAGCAGCAACAAACTGACTAACCACATGTACCGCATAAGCAATATTTGGACGAGTAATAGTAAGATATACCAAACTCCAAACAATAGTACGATATAAGGTAGGATTAGACAGAAGAGAACCATCAGAGGAAATATAACGAACATTGAGCTCCAAGAGTGTGTCAACCGTTTAAGTATCCGTTAAGCAAGCTCGCTGAATAACATCTGAAGCATATTTTGACTGAAAAAGAAGATAACCATTAGGAGAAGAAGCAACCTCAATCCCTAAGAAATATCGAAGCAGACCCAAATCTTTCATCTCAAAATAATCTTATAACTGAGTTTTCAACATCTGAATTCCAACATTGTCATCACCTGTAATAATCATGTCATCCACATAAAGTAATAAAATAATGAGACCAGAAGAAATGGATCGAAGGAAGAGAGCATAATCATGATCACTAGCACAAAAGCCTAAGTCACATATGACTGAATAAAATTTTGCAAACCATGCCCTCGGGGCCTGTTTAAGACCATATAAAACTTTGTGAAGTCTGCACACATAACCAGGACTACAAGACAACTCAGGAGGAGAATTCATATAGACTTCTTCAGATAAATCGCCATGAAGAAAAATATTTTTCACATCCATCTCAAAGAAACTCCACTGACGAATAGCTCCCACAACAATTACTGTAAAAATCGTGGGAGTCATGCGAACATAAGTATGCACAATCGGGGGGCGAGTAACAGACACATCAGACAAAGAGGAAGAAAAAGAAGAGGAGGGGAGAAGATCAGCCACAGTCATATCACCAACATATGAGTTAGGGGAAACATTAGAGGGAAATGAATCAAGATAGATAAGATCATATTTATGCAGAAATAAAGAACTAGATAGAATAGAGAAAAAAGGAATATGCTCCATAAAAACAGCATGGTGAGAAATCTAGAGTTTTTGTGTACTAGAATCATAACATCGAAATCCCTTTTGTCCCTCACCATATCCAAGAAAAACATATAAGGTTGAGCGAGCAGAGAGTTTGGTACGATTAACACTAGGTAGCAAAACAAAACAAGTACATCCAAACACACGTACGGAGAAATAGTTAGGTGTCTTACCAAATAATTTTTCAAAAGGTGAGACACAAAAATTAAGGATTGTAAGAATGCAATTAATCAGGTGAACTACTGTAAGGACTGCTTCTCCCCAAAAAGAGCTAGGAACATTGGATGACAACAACAGAGAATGAGTCGTCTCAATAATGTGACGATGTTTCTGTTCAGCCACTCTATTATGAGCAAGTGTGTCGATACAAGAAGACTGATAAATAGTATCATCAGATTTCAACAAATCACGAAAAAAACTAAAAGAATATTTTTCACCTTAATCACACCGGAAACATTTGATAATAAAAGAATATTGAGTACGCACTATAGCACGAAAAATAATAAAAATGAAAAACAACTCAGACATACGTGTCATCAGATACACCCAACAATATCTAATATGATCATCAATAAAAGAGACATAATATCTAGACCTCCTTTTAGTAGCAATAGGAGTTGGTTCCCAAATATCAAAATGTACAAGATCAAAAGATGCAAGAGAATGAGAATTACTTTTATTGAAAGGTAACGCAATAAATTTAGCCAACTTGCAACCACTACAATCTGAAATATTATGACACTCTAAACTACCCAAACTACCAATAGAAGCTAAAATTGGCATTCTTGTTCACCAATTTAGGACAATGAGCCTTCTAGTGACCTTTCTTACAACAAAAACTACACTCATCTGAAACAACTCGACCCCAATTTTTAGTCTATGAATAAGAAGTTCCCCTGGGTGATATAGTCAGTACAGTCTGATTAGGTAATGAAAGAAGACCCTTCCCAGAAAGAGTCTTAAGACGGACTTCTTCAACCAGAAACTCATTCACTACTGCATCAACTATGGGAAGTGGGAGACGATGGAGAATAGAACCACGAAGTCTCTCAAAGTCATCTCTAAGGGTCATTAAAAACTTCACCAACCGCTGCTCCTCCCTGAAAGTACGATATACCATATGAGTACTCAGTTCAGCAAGTGCTAACTGATCCCAAAATCCAATCATAACCGAGTAGAACTCTTATATGGTCTTATCACCCTAACATGCAGCTCGAATTTCATGTTTAAGCTGATATCTCTTTGCAAAATTGGCTTGAACAAACAACGTAGCCAAATAATCTCAAATCTCCTTGACTGTGTTAAACTTAGCTAAATGCATACTAATGGTTTGATCAACTGAGTTGTTAATCTAAGTGATGATTTTAGCATTATTGATCTCTCAGGTATTCTTTAAGTCAGCATAATTCATTGCCTTCGGATCTGTTGGAGCTTGCAAAGCACCACTGATATAACTCCACATCTCTTTGCCCAACAAAAAATTCTTCATAACATATGACCAATATACATAATTTTCACCATTTAATTTGACACTAATAGCTTGACGAGAATCAGAATGTCCACTTGCTATAATGGTAACAAAAAGGGTCGATGCTCACAACAGAATAATACCCAAAATAAAGCAGAAAAGAACAATAATCTAGCAAATCAAGAAACAACCAGATAATAGCAGTCAAGCCCAAAATTCTATGTCAACCCAAAATTGCAAACCCAATATAATAGCAGCTGGTTCACTGTGAAAGGAGAAACAATCCAACCGACACACAAATCCAACAGAAGAAGCCACAAAACAGAAGAAAAATGCACCAACAGAAGCCAAGAACAAAAACTAGTCCAAAGCAGCGACTGTTCTTACTGTGAACAGTAATTCGACAGTCCAAAACAACCAAAACTCAACCAAAAACCTTCAAATCACACAACCAGCTAGGTTACACTCTTAATCGCACCCTTTAGACCCAATTGGAAGCAAAAAATTCAAGAAAAACAACCCCAAATTACAAATCGAAAAATAAAACTGAAATTTTTGAAAAACATTCAAAAATTGAAAAACCCTATCCGACGACCTCAAAATCAAAAACGAAATATACCATTGAAGAGCCCATGAAGAATCGAGTATGATAGTGCTCTTCCCGACTCCAGATTGATGACGTCAGCCCTTGTTCAGAAGAAGTTGAAGAACCTGATGTGTTCTTCAAATTTTTATTTTTTTATTTTTAAGTATGCTAGGATCAAACAAAGCTCTGATACCATGTTAACATTGATCATTGATCAAAAGGAATAAAAGAGAGAGAAATGAAGAATATTAGTAAGACTAATTCAATCTGTCATACATCCTTAACTGAAGATATACAATGTAGCCCCTTATATATTAAGGCAACAAAATAATATAAAATACCTAAACTACCCATAATATAAATACTCTAACAGTTACAACAATATAAACAAATACAGAGAGCTTTCTTAGAAACAAACATGAGGGGGGATGAGCTTTCCTGGATTCATGATGTTGTTGGGATCCAAAGCAGCTTTTATCCTTTTCATCGTTTGCAAAGCCTCTATTCCAAGTTCTTGTTCAAGGTACTGAAATGCAAAGGATACAATCGAAATATTTTTAGAAATGCCACAGAAACAAAAAAAAAAATCGAAATTCAGTGGATTAAACAAACTGGGCTCGTTTTAACACCACAACATGGATTCTTGCAATTAGAAACTCCAGCCTTAGTTTTGTCTTCTTTATTCATTTTCTGTTTTGGGTTTTTCACCTTTGGTTTTCACTTTTCACCTTCCAGTATGTTATTTTGTATGTGGTCAAACCATAATAGTTAGGGGAGAGTTTGTTGATTTGAGTTAAGTTATTTTCCCATCAAAGGCACAAAACTAAAGTCATTTTAGCAATGCATGTAGCATCCATACTCTCGTATGTTTTGTATTTCTTGAACAGAGAATTCTAAGCATGCTTGCTGAAGTGGTATTGCTTAGTCAAATGATGCCATTGAATGTTTCCTTGCAACTGATTGCCAAAAGCCCACCACATCACAACATATCTTTTGTTCATACGCACCATCTAAAATGACCATAGTGATATTGTCAGAGTCCTGACGATACTCCTGATTTGTAACATAGGTCCTTATTTATGTGTGAGAGCTACAATTTTTTCAATCATTTTTGTTGTGAAGTTGTCAGTTCACTCTGTCTTTGCAATACAGAAGGTGAATCTGAATGTGCTACATGCGGTAGATTGCTCGTTTGACAGGATAAGATTATAGTACCTTCATTTTCCCGGTACCCACACCATGTTCTCCAGTACATGTTCCTGCTCCGTCATAAAATCAAATAAACAAAAGCAACATTAGTGCTGATGCATACAACCTTGCACCAGCGTAGATTTTGTACATTGCTCGTCATTGCTGAAAAAAATCCACTTACGAAATACTACAACTAAGAAACTGGGAAAAAAATTTAAAAAAAAAAACTCAGGCCACTGCTTCATTAAAAGTGAGATGGTGATCACATTACATAGATGTATAGATAAAAGCAACTATGCAAACTCTACTCATTTACTTAAAAAAATAGTGAGGTATCATCTTCTCGCCCTCACACCAATGAAGATTTGTGGGGAATAGTGGCACAACAAGTCATCCTCAGGTTGACCAATGTTAAGCAGGATAAAACCAGATTAAGGTCCACGATTGAAAATAAACACCCACAAACTAAACATGAGGCCATATATTTTGTATCCAATCATGTTCAAAGTCGCAACCATGGCTTATATTTTTGTGTTATTGTTAAGCTATAACATTAATTGAATACTACAATATTCTCCTTACATCAAGTTGCAATTCCAAATTTCCTATATTTGTCTATTGTTCACAAATAAAAAAAAAATGCTATTGTTGTAGCAGCTTGGTCAAGCTACAAGACTTTCAATTCACTTCAGATGTCATGTGACACCAAAATTTAAAGCACTGCCCAATTCACTGTTTTCGGGTTTAAGTAATGATTACTGAATCACCACCACATAAGAACATCAACGTGATAGAAATTGTACTAATCATGTCCTAAATTAATCAGCACTGAATGAGAACAAAATTTCCTTAAATCATATAGAAAAGCAATACCTTCCATGGATAAAGCAGTATGGACCATAAACTGGTTTAATCTCTCAGCTTCCTTCTGTTGCTTGTCACTTTTGGGATCAAACAGAATCACCGTGTGGAAGTTCCCATCACCAGCATGGGCAACAACTGTGCTGTTAATAAGAGACAGACAAATCACATGCATATCAAGCTGTAGAGTAGTATAATAGGGAAAATACTTTATCTGCTAAAGTACAAAGCCATTCAGAAGTAACATACCACACCAACGGTGAAGCGTCCAACTCTTTTTTGGACCTCGATATCAAATCTCCTAAGTGCGATAGAGGAACACAAACATCCTGCATGAAACAAATAATATTGGAAAAAGTCTGAAAGAAAAAAAAGGGATTAAAAACAACTCATTAAAAGAGGCGAATGCAATCAGGCAACTGATTTATAAAATCAAAACAAAGGTAATTCTAAAACTTCTTTGAAAGGGTGCGGCAAGAACCATATCATATAACCAGTACTTTAACATATATGCCTTATATCAGCTTAGAAAAATATATAACCACCACCAAAGATATACAGCATGATTGTTTAGGATAACCAGGATTGAAAAGCTATATTGACACAACAGACTGCATTAGGACTTGGCGCTGGAAGTGTACTAGTTATATATAACCAATTTACCTTCTTAGTTATGGACAAAATTTTATCCAAAACATACAAGAAAAGACGATCAGGTACAAGCTAGAAGCTGATAGGTTACAACCCAGGAATTCTGTGGACAAGATTGGGGATAAAACAACTTTATTATTCATACTAAACAAAAAACGATTTCAACCAAGATTTGCAAAAGAGAGACCATTTCTGGTATCAAGGATGATTATGCACAAGAGAATGGAATCAAAGAAGAAAAGGAGCAGATCACAAAAAATAAATAAAAAAGGGCAGCCGGAGCACGAGACTTCCACCACTGCAGTGTTAGAAGTATGCAGCCTCACCTCCTTGTGCATAGAGATTGCACTATGGATGGAAGGATGGATGACCAGCAAGGCAAAAAATGACAAAATTAGATCTGCGTACAGCCATGAGAGACAAAAGAGGGCACCAACCCTGGAATAGATATTAGAAGGATTGAACACATAGTGACATGACTGAGAAGAATATCAAATCCAAGCTAAAAGTGCTGCAAGGTTGGACACAGGAAGAAGTTTAGGTAATGAGAAAGAGATAATGGAATTAGAGTTTATGGACAAGCATGCCCATATATATAGCACATAATGGTGGAAAAGGGCACGTCGCTACACCAATAGAATGAATACAAAGCCATGTAGAAAAGAAAGGTAAAATGGTAAAACAAGTAGCTAATCTCTCAGGTTGGGAGAATGCTTTGTTAATGTCCATGCATCTTCCTTATTGAAATTTAGAGTATTCAGTTCCTAAGTCATTGCAAATTGAAGTAAGCAATATCATATAAATGAAAGCAATACATCAAAATAAACTGACCGTTATCATCGCTTCAAAATTAGGTTCCATAGCAAAGCAAGCCCAAAGTGCTTCCTTCCTTATCTGCACAGTAAGCATAATGCTAAACTATTTGCATCAAGTTTGACGTCGACTCAACACAAACTTAAATCCCAAAATATTTCTGGAGAAATGGAAAATATAGAAAAGAGGATAACAGCATGTAATGGTTAAAACAAAGAACTGACTCAAGCCAACCAAACCAAAGAAATATGTTTTATTTTTTATTTTTTTGATAGGAAACAAAACTTTCATCTCATAAAAAGAAGTAAAAATACAAAAATGGTGGATAAAAAATCCACCGAGAGAACACAACAAAAGCAAAGGCCTATAATTGTGTTAAGTTGACATGTTTTGAAAGTGAGGACATTAAAACAAACAAGAAGGTATGGTCTAGTCTCTAAGTTAAAATTTATTGAACTACACACACTTGCAAATCACAAACTACGTAAATATTAGTGCTCATGTATATCCTAGATGATTTTCTCCAATTTCTCAGTTCAACCAAATCCAACATGACCAACCCATGTACAATAATGAACCTTAAAAGGACATCACTTCAGGAATTAAGTGCAATGGCTAGACTTTTGAGTGGGGGTTCCACTTTATGCCCGAGAGAGAGAGAGAGAGAGAGCTACTTCACTGTTTTATTAAACAAACTGATGTTCAGATACTTTCTAGCCTGAAGAGAACAGCAAGTAAAGGAAGTATCAATGGAAACCACCAAAAAAAAAAAAAAAACTCTTCATCCACATCCAATAATATCACATCACGGTACCATATCAATATCACATTTAGAGGTAAGGAGCATTATAACAAATGGCCAAAAAAGACTAATTTTAACTAATTCTAGCATGTCAATTATTAATTTGCCAGTCTAAATTAGTTTACTTGCACAATTAATATACATAGAACTAACTGCTCATGCAAATCATCTTGACTGAAGGCAAGTGGTTCTTATACTTAACTCAACTAAGTTTTGCCTCAACATTTTTGGGTTAGTTACATGAATCCTATTTTGCGAGTGTGCTTTATTAAGGGACAGGTTTTATGTTAAATCCTAAGCCATCATATCAGTATTTTTCATCCATGTCATAATAGATCGTCTATAGATATATCCAAACCAGCTATGTCGATTCTCCCTTAATATATCTCCAATAGTTGTTACCTCTATTTTTTCACGAACATATTCGTTCCTGATTTTATCCTCCCTAGTTATACCACACATCTATCTTAAAATTTTTGTTTTCGGCACACTTTTAGTTTTTCAACGTGTTATTTCTTAGTTGTCTAACACTCAATACCATAAAGCATAACGAGTCTTATTGTCGTTCTATAAAATTTTCCTTTTAACTTAAAGGGGTATGTGTCTATCACATAATATACCGAATGCATTCCTCCATTTAGTCCATCCTACATTAATTTTTAAAATGTTTATTCCTACTTATCCTAAAATCATTTTGACTCTAGAGCTTCTCAACATATTTCTACTTTATTATTAATTCTTTCTTTATGGACTTAACACAAAACCTTGATGTAAGTCTACAATAACAGGGAATTCATAAGTCTCTCATGTTGTTCTCACTAAAGTCCACTAGTGTTATTTAAGGCATAAAACAAATCGAAGCGAACAGGTCTCTTGAGGGCCTAAGCGAGAAACAAAGTAAGAAGAACAATAAAAAAAATAAACAAATATTTTAGTTTAATACTTTGATTACTCCTAAATATTCAAGTTTTAACTTTACAAATACAAAATATTTAAATACAACCAAAATAATAAACATCTACATATTTTAAATAGACAAGATATTAAATATTGAACATTATTGCATTCTAAATGTTAAGAGTATTAAGGTAGTATGTTTAATTTGTTAAAAGAATTAGGGTATTATGTGTACCATCCGTTTATTACTGATGCAGCAGTTTGACAGAAGCAACATGAGGACATGAATGTTGTTAGGTTTTTGGTATGATTGAAAACTGAATATGAGGTTATTCGTTCTCAGATTTTGGACAGTTCTAGTCTTCCTTCACTGCTTGAGATTTTCTCTCGTATACAACATGCTACTTTGTCTACCGCAGGCATAGATCATGGTGTCTCCACTGATCGCTCAGCTCTTGTGGTTCCTAATAGCCATAGTGATGGTCATCGAGGTGGTCGTACAGGAGGTCGTACGGGTAGTCGTGGAGGCTGTAGTGGACCTTGTTCCTGTACTCATTGGGGCTGTGTAGGACATACTATTGATTTATGTTGGGATTTACATGAAAAACCTTCTGGTGTTATGAATCAGGCTTCTTATCAGGATGCCACCTATGTTGTTACTTCCATACCTCAGTCAGCTCCATCAGACACTAGGTCGATTACTATTACTCTAGAGGAGTATGCTTAATTTGTGTCCCAGCAACAGGCTGTTCCATCACCCTCCACTGCTATTTTTGTCCAGTCAAGTATTGCTTTCACTTGTTTATTGTCTTCCACTCGTAGTCCCTGGATCATAGACTCTGGCGCTTCTAACCACATGACTGGTGCGTCTGATGTCTTTTCTACTTATCAGTCTGTCACTTCCACATGTAGTGTTACCCTTGCTAATGGTACTTATTTTAAAGTTTCAGATTTTTGGACTACTCACTTGAGTCCTAATATGTTTTTATCTTCCGTGTTATTTGTTCCTCAGTTTCCTTTTAGTTTACTTTCCATTAGCAAAATTACTCGTTCTCTCAATTGTTTTGTAACATTTTATCCCTCTTATTATGTCTTTCAGGATCTCAAGACGAAGAGAAAGATTGGTACGAGACATGAAGCTGGTGGTCTATATTACTTTGATTTTGATTCACCTACTCGAGCTCTACAGACCTCGTTATCTCCTTTTCAATGGCATTGTCATCTTGGACATCCCTCTCTCTAGAATCTGAAGCACCAAATTCCCAGTCTTAGTTATGTGTCATCGTTGTCTTGTGAAGCTTGTCAACTTAGTAAGCATCACCGTGTGTCATTTCAGTCTAGAGTTAATAATCGTGTGTTTAGTTCATTTGAGTTGGTACATTTTGATGTATAGGGTCCAATAAAGAATATTTTATCTAATAAATATCCTTATTTTGTGTCATTTGTGGATGACTATTCTCGTGTGATTTGATTGTTTTTGATGAAAACTCGGTCTGAATTATTCTTTATATTTGAGACCTTTCGCAAGAAAATAAAAACTCAGTATGGTTGTCGTATACGTATTTTACGTTCTGATAATATTCGAGAATATGAATCTGATCCTTTTTCAGCTTATCTTAGTAAAACTGATATTATTCATTAGATTTCTTGTACTTACACCTCTCCACATAATAGTGTTGCTGAACGCAAGAACCGTCATTTGTTGGAAGTCACCCGTGCTCTGTTATTCCAGATGAATATTCTCAGATATTTTGGAGTGATGCTATTCTTACTGCTTGTCATCTTATTAATCGTATCATCCTCTGTGTTAAATGGGCAAAATTCATATTTTGTCCTTTTTCCTAGTAAGCCCTTATTTTTTCTAAGTCCTAAGGTTTTTAGATGTGTCTGTTATGTTCACAATTTGAGTCATAGATTTGATAAAGTTGACCCTTGAGTTACCAAATGTGTATGTCTTGGATACTCCCGCACACAGATGGGATATCGTTGCTATAGTCCTTATCTGCGACGATATTTTACTAGTGCTGATATCATGTTTGAGGAATTTGTTCCATATTTTTCAACACTTGCTCAACCTTTGGATCTAGACTGAGTCATTTTTTGTACCACCATCTCTTCCCTCCTCTTCAGATATTCCGCTGCCTACTGTGTTACCATCTATTTTACCTCTTGATGTATACTTTTGTCGCCCTCGCCCATCGACTGAGGTGCCTGTACCGCTTCCTTGTCGTCTTCTGATCCTAGTACATCAGATAATTTAGACTTTTTACCTATTACTCTTCGAAAAGGTACTCGTTCATGTTACTAATTATCTCATTGCTCATTTTGTTTCATTTGATGCATTGTCTCCAGTCTTCTCTTGTTTTACTTCACAATTATCTATTCCTAAGCACTTACAGGATGCATTATCTGATCCGGATTGTAGAAAAGTTATGGAAGAGGAGATGGATGCCTTACATCATAATGGGATTTGAGATCTCATTCCTTTACCTCCTGGTAAACTAATTGTTAGTTGTCGTTAGGTGTATACTGTTAAATTTCATCCAGATAGTTTTGTGGAACGTCTCAAAGCCCGACTTGTTGCAAAGGGCTTTACTCAGACCTATGGTGTAGATTATGAGAAAACTTTCTCTCCTGTTGCCAAAATTTTCTTTGTTCATATCTTGATTTCTTTGGCTGTTAATCTTGATTGGCCCTTGATTTAATTAGATGTCAAGAATGCCTTCTTACATGGTGACTTGGTTGAAGAGGTATACATGGAGTAGCCACCTAGATTTACTGCTCAGGGGGAGTATGATAAGAGTGTATGTCGGTTAAGGAAATATTTGTATGGTTTGAAGCAGTCACCGATGGCATAGTTTGATAAATTTTCAGATGCAAATTTAGAGTTTGATTTTCTTCGATGTCAGACAAACCATTCTGTGTTTCATAGACAGACGGATGCTGGATATGGTCTATTGGTGGTTTATGTAGATGATATTGTGATTACTGAGAATGATTCTGAGGGGATTGTCAAGTTAAAAATATTCTTGCAAGATCAATTTCATCCTAAGGATTTAAAAAAACTCATGTATTTCTTGGGTATTGAGGTGGCTCGATCTAAACAGGGTATTTGTTTATTCTAGAGAAAATATGTACTTGACATGCTAGAGGAGCATATTTGTTGGATGGCAGACCGATTGATGTTCCTATGGATCCGAATCAGAAATTATTGATGGATGATGGTGAATTGTTTGAGAATCCGAGTCAGTATCGCAGATTGGTTGGGAAGCTCAATTATCTCACTATTACTCGACCAGAAATTTCCTATGCAGTCAATATAGTAAGTCACTTCATATGGTGCCCTAAAGTACCACATTGGAAGGCAGTTACTCGTATTCTGTGATATTTCAAACGTGCTATGGGACTTAGACTGTTATATCAAGCTAATGAACATTTTAGAGTGGAAGGTTTATCAGATGCTGATTGGGCTGGCTCTTCTTCTGATCGGAGATCAACTACTGGTTATTGTACTTTCTTAGGAGGTAATGTTGCCTCTTGAAAAAATAAAAAACAAAACGTAGTAGCAAGATCCAGTGCGAAGGCTGAGTATAGGGCAATGACGCATACGACAAGTGAGTTGACTTGACTATTATACTTCCTCCAGAAAATTAGATTTCTAGTTCAACCTCCTTTATAATTGTTCTGTGACAATCAGACAGCTATCCATATCGCTGTCAATTCAGTGTTTCACGAGAGAACCAAACATATTGAGGTTGATTGTCACTTTATTCGGGACAAGATAGTAACCAAATAGATTACGACTCTATTTGTGAAATCTGAAAATCAACTTGCAGATATGTTTATCAGTCAGACAATCGCTTTTCTCGTCTGACTCACTTTTTCGCTTTGTCGCCTAAGCTCGTTTTTTTCTCGCTTCGCCTTAACTGTTCATGGCAACCAAGGCTCGCTTCACTTCACTTCTCATTTCGCTTCTCACTTAAGCTCACTTTTCACAATACTGCTAAAGTCATGACATTTTCATACATAACCTTAATCATGTCAATATGTCTCACAGTAACATTTTTTCTCTAAAACCTTCTATAATATATCTCTAGAAACTCTATCATATCTCCTCTCTGTCTATAAAAACCATATGGAGATCTTATTTTTCTTTTTATACCTATCCATTAGTCTCCAAAATAAGCATTAGCTTTCATTGTTGACTTTGCAGGCATAAATCTAAACTAATTCTCATGAGCCGTTGTCTCAAACCTTAATCTTTGCTCCATCCCTCTTTCCAAAAGTTTCATTATATGACTTACTAGTTTAATAACTCGATAGCCTGTGCAACTTTGTATATATCCCTTATTTTTATAGATAGGTACTCAAATAGCCCACCATCCCCTAAACATTTTCAAATCTCAATAGCTATACCATCAAGTCCTAAAGTTTTTTTGTGTCTTCATTTTCTTTAATGCCTCCTTAACCTCCGATATCCTAATCCTATGAAAAAATGTTTTCTCTAATCTCCCTATGACTTCTACAATCTTCAATGTATGTGCTCCTTCTAAGATTTTCATTTGGTAGCTTTTCAAAGTAATTCTTCTATCTTTCCTTAATTTTCTCAAAGTTTTTACTCTTAATACATTTAATATGATTAACATCTCTAGTTTTTCTCTCTCTTAATTTAGCAAGTTTATATATTCTCTTCTCCCCATTCTGTGTCTTGTTTAAAATAAAGATCATCATATGTTTTGTACTTAGCATCTCTTACCCCTTTTTTTAATTTATTTGAAATCTTATAACTTTTAAAGCCCTCTATGTTTTTAGTTTGTTGTCCTGTTTTATAGCACTCGTTTTACTTTTTCATTTGCCATATACCATAAAAATCCCTTTATTTAGACTTTCGTATAAAGTATTATGAAAAAATAGTTGAATAAGAAGTTAACTTTTTTCTAATACTGGATGGAAGAAAACAGAAGCAAAAGGGATGGGAGGCCATTGGCCAACAAGAAGAAACATGCTAAAGAAAACAGAAGAAAAGGAAATTTTCCACAAGCTATGTATCCAAAATTAAATCAGCTATAATTAATGCTGGAATTGTATAAACACCTTACCCTCCAAAGTTCCTTTTTAGCATCAGCATCTTCAGCAAAGACAAAATCTGAGCCATTGTGCTCAGAAACTATATTTTGCACTATTAGTGTTTGCTCACGTGAATATGCTTCTGATAATAAGTAACAAGAAGATAACAATTAGCAATCAATCAGAAGAATAGATCAAAGCTAACAAAAAAACTCAGGGAATAACTCATTCTGCGCATAAAACAAAAAAAAAGAACCACAAAAAAGATTTAAAGCCAACTGGCAGTGACCACAATTTTGTGCAGATATTTTTATAATGTTTCCCCTGGATTTCAACAGCATTAATCAGTTAGTTCCAATCATCCAATCAAGTTAACTCTAACTTAAAGATGTAAAGGAAATGTGTTGCCAAGTCAGATACCTAGTCACATTAGGCCTAAATTTGAACTGTTATTGCTGCTGTGCTAATTGAGAATGACTCAAATGACTGGCAATCAGTCAAGATAAAGGAGAATTATCCATAAGATGTTAAGAACAATGTGTTCAGCCAGCTATTTGAAAGGTAGAACACTAAGTGTTCAACCAGGTATTTGAAGAATACCACACTAAGTCCGGCCCTAGCAAGAACCCAAGCAAAAGCAAATCAGAAGTAAAAACATTTACCTTTCACTCCGCTAATATTGGACCCACTTCGGTACATATCAACTGCTTACAATTCCATGAGGAAAATGTCAGGGCAAGGATCAAAATTTCGTTTCGGTACATAGTGTCAATGAGTTACGGAAATGTTTCGGAAACAAGATAGAAACAAATAAATTTTTTATAATTTATATCCGCAACCTTAGTCGAAACATAGGTCGAAGCATGCCGAAACACCTCGAAACATAGGAATTTTGATATTTAATCAATGATTCCTTTTGGTTTCCATGGAAACGGAAAAATTTCAGATGTTTCGACCATTTCAAAACGAAATTTAGTTCCTTGTGTCAGGGTAATAATTGGCGTCTTAGATCTATATTTACTGTTACATCCAACTGATGGTTACTTTACGGAATTGGATAACAATCTGAAATCAACTCATATTCCAATGAACATTATGACATTCAGCTCTGACATTAAATACATACTGAACCAAATGAGACAGTATATAGGCCCGGTTGCAGATCCAGTAGATTGGATCCTCATTTAGGCTGTAGCACGTTCATTTAGAAGAAATTGAACTAAAGGAAGTGACTATGTCGAATGTGGCTAACATCATCCCGATTTCCTTTCTCCTATCAAGAGTTTACATTTGAGTGACAGTGATCAGAAATCGATTTTAGAACTTCGGGATGGGCACTGGTATGATAAAATATCCACTTAGGTAATGCACCCACACCTTTGCATTCTTTAGCATACGGTATGCAAGTTTTCTGATTTCACATCAGTATTTTGACGGTCTTGCATTGCGGAACAGTAATGACAATGATGTGACGGAGCTATGTGTCCAATACAAACGCAGGTGTATAACCAAAAATAGAAAAGCAAATGGCAATGTGGTAAGAATATTCATATTCCTCCCAAGTCTAGGCAAGCATGTGCGTCAGTGCAATATACATTTGATTCTTCCAGAGATTCCATTGGGCATCCACAAACCAAAAACACCAAATCTTTCCTCTATTCTCCTGAATTCGTGCAAAGAGCTATGCTCTCCTTCCCACCCCCAGCCCTCGCGCCCCAATTTTTCTCCTTTCTTTCCCCTGTCATCATGATAACAGTGCCTGTGGGCTTGTTAGACAATGACCCTCGTAAGGTTTACAAACTCAAGATAAACTCTTCAAAGCAGGGAAAAACATCCTTTTCAATCCTCTTTCTGCAGTAAACACTCTGACCACTTCAGCCATCATTCACATGGTATTGATCTAAATCTACAAAGTAATCTCCACACTCCCTGAGCTATGACACTATTAGAGAGAGAGACCCCCATTTGATAATCCCCGGTTTATCCACGGAAAACATCATCAAGATCTCACAAAATAACATAGGATTGATGACACTGACATAATCTATGCATTGAGATCACAAAAATTCGAGATAAGCAACAGCACAGAAACGAGGACATGCTTCACCTGTGCCTATAAATTCAAACATTAAAGTAGGAACTTCAGGCAAATTTTTCCCATTAGCAATATTGACAGCTCTCACTTGCACTTCATCCAACAGCTCCACCCTTGACACCTAGTGAGTATTATGAACACAAAAAAAGGTGAAGAAACAGAAGAGTAATTTAATTAGCACCTTCTGTTATCCTTAATAAACAACCAATTTGTTATAATCCAGTTTCTGCATTTTTCAAAAGATGTCTTTCTGGTTTAGGACTGCATCGCAAACATCAAAGTAGACTCATTTGAAGGACTAGTTAATAGTTATGCAACAAACAAGGGGGTTATTAAGAGGCATTATAATCCTTTTAAAAAAATTCGTAAAATCACGAGGTTTTTGTATGCAACTTGGAACTTTCTTCAGGCTCCAAAAGAAAAATACCACACACATGGTGCCGCTTTCCATTGTTCTGTGCCCTTTACTTGCTTTTATATTTTTTTTTTTCATTACTATGTAAAAATCTTCTTGTATCTGCATTTTCCTCCTTTCATCCATTCCACACCGGTTACAAAGAAATGGCATCAGCCAAATGCACAGCTACATCATACTTACAATTGCTTGATACAGTAAACACTATACTCAACATAGAAGATATTGTGTAATATTTGAAAATGGGAAGTGGAATGCAAGCAACGTGGACTACTTTGTATCATTCCTTTATCCTTAACTATGTGCACAAATATGTATCTAAATAAACCAACAGCAGAACCCTAAAAATAAGGAAAGGGAAAAAGTCCACAAAGATGTACAGTGACATAATAGATGCAGAAATGGCATGCACACATAGCATAGCAATTTTGGCAGTAGATATCTGACCTGTATACCAGACAACATAGTGGCAATAGCAACATCCGCTGCATCCTTCACTGTAGGAAAGTTGCACATGGCAACCTGTATAATGATCATAAGCAACCAAAGGTATACGTGTGAGAATAAATGCAACTTGAAATAGGAAATCATAATCATTCGGGAGTGCACCAACTGACAAAAATTAACTTTAAAAAATCAGTTTGAATAAAAGCCAAATTCTACAATGAAGGAAGCTTTTTCACATTCATATTGCTGCAAACAATAAAAACTTCGCTCAGTAGCAACATTAAGACAATGATATACAATTGACATACTTTTTCTCAGAAAAAAAATCAAAACTAAGAAAGCAGGAACAGGCAATGAAGTAAAGTTACATGTTGATCATCCAAGTAATTGCTCAATAATGGGTAATCATTTTCCCAATCCCTCTTTCACGGATTTAATCAAGCACCTTGTGCATGCTACTTGTACACAAAAACAGGAAGCATAAGCAAACAATATCCAGAAAGTCAAACCGTGAAACTCTAATCACATCCAAACTAGTTACCAGAACTCAACAACCCAGTATATGAATGCAACAGCCCAAAACAAGGTGGGTTCACTATCAGATCACCCAAATTACCACCCCCCCAATTATGAACCTGATCTAAATTGATTTGCTTTGGAACTTATAACCAATAACAGATGTAAAGAAAAATTTACTGTGTGGATGTACCATGAATCCATACCACAACTGCAATATATGGTCAAAAACTAGCCTAGCAATGACAAACAACCTGACCTTGACAAATTCTGAGAGCGGGCGCATCACAGTTGAAAGGGCTCATCTAACAAGGTGTTTGCACAACAGTATAGGCCTAGTTTCCCCCTTTTCTAGGTAGATTCAATATTCAGGGAAAAGTGGAAGGAAAAAAGAGAAAACAGAGAAGAAAACAAAAAGGAAGAGGAAGAGAAGAATAAATCCAATTAGTTGCCTATAGGTACGCGCATGCGAGAGAGACAGATACAAACACGCGCGCACACACAGGGCTCAACCATACTACGGAATAAAACTTATTATGATATTTATTTGTGCCCCTCTTTGTGGCATTTCTAATCTTTCTGCTTGATTAGTGACAATAATATCATGCAAGAATAGCTTAAAGGCTTACAGCTCACAAGTGAAGTTACCTCCATGCAAGCACATGGGAAATATCAGATACTGAGTAACTTAACATTAAAACAATTATCAAGGCTTGGCCAGGTATTTTTTATTTGATAAAAACGAGAGAATTAACCAGTCTATCATCACAGAAAGGACACCCATTTTGAATTAGAATATAACAACAAACGAAAACCTCCAGAAATGAAAATTCAGAGTACCACTGAATACTTCGGAATTTTCTGTAGACGTAACGTAACTTCGGTAATCACTCCCAAGGTCCCTTCACTTCCAATCATCAGGCGCGTTAGATCATACCTAGAACATGAGCAACTTCAAAGATTTAGAGGACAACCTACTTAAAGATAATTCTTTTACTTCTATAGGCACCAAGAATTAAATACTAAAGTATAGCAGATATATTTGCTATAAATGTGTAAAAATTTCATCAGAAGCATGATGGTTGGCCATCACAAATGCTCTTAAGCGGCTAAAAAGGTGAATAAGTTAATCCCAATGTAAAGAACATAATAGAAGTCCATGGAACCAAAAACAATACCACAAGAATAACTCACACAACAAGATAAACAAACAATATTTTTCTGAAAAAATCTAAACCACCCTAGTTATGCTAGACATCAACTTCTCCTATTTACCATAAAATACTACTACAAATAAAAAAAAATTATTGACAAGTTTTGGAGAAGAAAAGCAAATATATAACACAAATGGGCCTCATTACTTCTATCTGATGAATCCTAAATAGAAAAAGAAAAAAGATATTACAATTCTTTACAATATATTTTTGATTGCATATAAGTATGTTCAAATATAATAATATATAATAGAATATGGTCAGATACTCCCACTTGAAGTTCTCCTTTCACCATTTCTTTTTCAATCCTAAAACATTGCTACGGTAGGAAACTGAGTCTGGAATACAGAACAGAATAATGTGGAACTTCAGATAACACTTCTTTACATTGAAGTTGTGGTATGTAAGAAAGGATCATATACCAAAGGTTCTAGGGCACCTGTTAAGGGACAAAAAATGACCTCTTGGCTCTTATGTACTTAATGTGGAACTGTTGTCGCACAATTCTACCGAAAGACTCATTCTATTGTCAACAATTTTGTGCATTAATAGTAGCTTTTTCATATTTTCCCATAATATCCATGCACTAACGACGATATTTAAAAATCTGTAAAGACTTTTCTTAAGCACTCAAATGATTCTCCTATTAAAAACTTCAAATGCCAAATTTTGAAGAGAAAAAACCCGAAGCCCTTCATAAGATTCCCACCGACTAAAATTTTAGTCCTGAATGGAGGTTTTTTTCATATATTCTTTGTTTCAATTTTTTTAATTTATAATCCTAAATAGTGGTTTTGAGAAGCATGACTATGAATCACAAAAAGATTAGAAATGGCATAAGAAACACACCCGGCAGCACTTTTTCGGGCACGGGAACCTGTCTTGACAACATCTCCATTGGCTAGAACAACCTGCAGATAAAGCAACATGTAAAATTTGACACTTACCAACTAATATATGCACAAGATGAGGAAAACAAAACCTTTAGATTGATGACATTATCACGCATAGTTCCATACCTACATGCTAAAAATAAAATCGTTAATTAAACTCAGTCAAGAATTAAGTCATTCAAACGTTAGCTATATTAACAGGCTTCGTAAAGAAAGAGAAAAATCAATTACTGTGCTTCAAACACAAAATAAAATTCAACAACTGTTATTCTAAAAAGGAACATAATGACATCTTGTTTTTTCTCTCTTTTTTTTCTTTTTTTTTGTTTTGGATAAACCAGTATTGACGTCCAATATAAATCTTGTTCAGAATTCAGACCATAATATACATACAAACCAAAGCAAGGAAAGTTAAGTGAAAATCATGATATAGATCAACCACAAATGTGGAAACAATGAGTGTGTGTGAGCATACGCATTTACAAAAGACAGATAAACCTTTTTCCTATTTTAAATTCCAGGGTAATGATATGCTTTCAGGACAACAACGTTTTCCTGTCTATTTACTGGTCTACCATCTCAGCATAGCATCATATCATAGGTATCACAGGGTAGTACCATCGCAAAGTCCAATAACGCATCAGGGAATGGATATCAATCCTCTGATAATGAAGTGCTAGTATCTTGGAACTAACACAAGGTTGGTATCGTACAACTTGCAGGAAAGCAACGTAAGAGCACCATATAATTTATATAATAAAAAGGAAGGGAAAGGGAAAAGAAAAATTAACCAGGAAAAAGGGTTTGGTATGGGTCATGTACACTTGCTTATAACGTAACTCTCCCTCACATTTTGCACTAAAAGGTCAGTCAAAATTTCCACTAACCGATACATATTTCAATGACTCCGACAATCTATGGGAATGAACATTTGTCATGATAGCTGGCATTTCACTTGATTACTCACAAGTGCTTCTAATTCTAATCTATATGATGACTTCTTTCAGCACATAAAGACACTGGCAGGATGGCACAATTTCTGAAACTTTGTAGCTGAGTCTCTCAATTGGTCACAATATTTTTCCTCTGATTCTGCATATTGTGGGGCTTTATCCAATTATTCATCTCAATCAAAACCATAAAATTGCCTAGTAATCATGGAGAGAAATTATTAGCCTTAAAAGCATTAAATTATGTGCATAGATGCATATTAGTCGAGTGAAAGCAAGGTTCCTGTATTTGTGAATATGTCTACTCTACAGGTTTTTCCTTATTACAAAACACTAGCTTAGACAAAGGGTACTAGAAACAACTCCTCCAATGTTATGAAATCTACCAATCTGGCAACAATGATAAAATCTTTGTTTGAGTGCATAAACTTTCAGCCAGTTCAGAAAATGAAACATTTCATAAATGCTTCCGAACACATTCTGAAGTACCTAGAAACACCTCGAAACATATGAACTTCGATATCCAATCACTAATTCATTTTCATTCATTTTAGTGGAAACGATATGAAATTCCCATCCTTGTCCGGCATGTATGTTTGCAAGAAGAATTAATTCCCAGTACTATACAGCAACTCATTAATAGACAACTGAATCCCAACAAAAATTAATCCAGTAGCATATAACAGAAAAACCAACAAAAAATTTGGACAAAGAAGGGAAATTACGAACAACAATGGAAACAATACCATTGTTTCCATTTTTGGAGCGGTTTCAGCAGCAAATGTAAAAGTGAAGCACCTTACAACCCATGTATAAAGTAAATGAGCAACTACCTCACAGCTAAAGAACCAGAGCAACGCGTAGCACACATCCCTCCAATGGTTGCTCCAGGCCCTACAGTCAATATGTTGAAGAACATAAAATTTTAATCATGAAATTGATATTGAGATTCATCTAGTGCATGGATTAAGACAGTCACGTAAAATGTATCACAACCAGCTAATGAGTTCTTCTATCCATAGCCAAACCAAATGACCCATATTTGCAAACAGAAATTATAGTGACACTAGGATAAACGTGAGTCAAAAGGGATACAAACTAAGTGTAGAGCCCCCGTATATACAGCCAAACAATAAAAGTCACAATAAGGATAAAAAAGTAAAAAGAAGGCAAAAAGGGCAAAATCCTAATAAACCCCAATAAATTAGGCTATAACACCAACATTCCCCCTCAAGTAAGCGCAAAAATGTCAACTAAGTCAAGCTTAACAACAGAGTCCCGGAGAATAGATAGAGTGACAGGTTTGGTGAAAATATCCGCAACCTGATTATTGGTTCCCACAAACAATGGAGTGACAATACCACAACTAACCTTCTCTCGAAGAAAGTGAACATCGATCTCTATATACTTCGTTCTCTCATGTAGTACAGAGTCAAAAGCGAACTGAATAGTAGATTGATTATCACAATATAATGTAGATGAAGAAGTCACTAGAAATTCCAACTTGCCAAGAATCGATCGTAACCAGATAATCTCACACGTGTCAAGTATTAGTGCCCGATACTCTGCCTCTACTGCCGAGCGGGAGACAACTATTTGCTTCTTGCTCTTCCAAGAGATAAGATGAGTCCCTCGAAAAGTACAAAAGCCCGTAGTAGATCGACCGTCATACGCTCCCCATAATTTGAATCTAAATAACAAACTAGAGAACCAATCTGAGATCTTGATGCATAGAACAACCCAAACCTAGAACAAAACTTAAGGTACCAAAGAATATGATAAACTAAATTAAGATGAGGCTACCATAGCCTGTGCATAAACTGACAAACTCAGCTAACAGCGAATGAAATGTCTAGCCTAGTGTTGGCCAAGTAGATAAGTCTACCTACCATTCTCTGATAGACAATCGGATTTCTCAACTCCTCACCTTCAGCAGTAAGCTTCAGGTTTAGAATCATGGGTCAGGTTTAGAATCATGGGTCATAATGCCGGTTTACACCCCAGCATCCTAGTGTCTGAAAGAAGATCCAGAACATACTTCCTTTGAGAAAGAACAATAACCCTGCTGCTACGGATAACCTCAACCCCAAGAAACTATCGCAAAAATTCAAGGTCCTTCACATCGAAGGTTTTCCCAAGATCTACCTTGACCTGTGCAGTCCCAGAAATATCATCTACAGTAATAAAAATATTATCTACATATATCAAAAGGATGACATACTATCTAGAAGTATTTCATCGAATAAAGCATGTATGATCAGAATGACATCTGGTGAACCCTAAACGTACAACTACACCACTAAACTGAGAAAACCAGGCTCGTGGTGACTGTTTCAGTCCATAAAAAGATTTACGCAGTCGACAAACCTCCCCAGCATACTCCCTCTTACCATGAAATCCTGGTGGTGCATCTATATAAATAGTCTCGTCCAGATCACTTTGAAGAAACGCATTCTTCACATCCAATTGATGAAGAGGCCAAGAATATTCCACAGCCAAAGATATAATCAACCGAACGATAGTCAAATTTGTCACGGGGGCAAATGTAGCACCAAAATCATGACCTGGTACCTAAGTAAAACCCTTCGTAACAAGCCTAGTCTTGTGACTATCAATAGTATCATCTGCAAGAAACTTCAAGGTGTACACCCAGCGACAGCCAACAGGCTTCACCCCTGAAGGTAAAGAAATAAGATCCCAGGTATGATTACGATGAAAAACGTTCATCTCTGTCTGCATAGCAAGAACCTATTGGGACTCTGGCATAGCCTCTAAAACAAAGCGAGGAACTGGTGTATCTGATAAGACCAAACTATAAACTCGATATGTAGGAGATAGATCACCATAAGAAACATAACCAAAGGTCAGATATAAAGTCTTAGCGATCCAACCATAACGAACAATGGGAAGACGATCACACCGTAGACAACGACGCTCTAAATCATTATCCTCCACTGTCAACATCTCATCAGGTAAAGTAACTGACATACTACCTGTAATCTTATCAGTACTAATAATAAGTGCATCAATATGCTCAATGAACTGAGAAATATTACCTGTGTCGCTTGAGGTAGAGGAGACATCAACAGGGGGATAAGAATGAGGGCGACGAACATAAACCTGCAAATGAGGTGAGACAGGTGACTCTATGGTGACAAGGACGAGTGGTTCTGGAGAAGAAGAGACTGGTGATTTTGTGGTAACAGTGACCAATGGCTCTAGCCCCTGTGGTAAGAGAAACTCAAAAAGAGTATCATCAACTAGAGTAGTAGACATAGGACTGAAAGAAAAATAAAAGAATATGCTCAAGAAAGGTCACATCTAGACTGTGATACATACGGCGCCTAATAGAATCATAATACCGATACTCCTTAGATTGATGACAATAACCCACAAAGATATAACGAGTTGCTTTATCACCAAGCTTATGACGAATAGGAGACTTATTCTAAACAAAACATGTGCATCCAAAAACACAAGAGGAATCGAAAATAGTGTCCACTCAGGGAATAAGACATGTAAAGGAGCCTTATCTAAATAACACGATTCGGTGTACAATTACACAAAAATGTAGAAGTCAAAATAGCAAAATACCAATAAGATTTTAGAACCCCCATATCTCCAAGCATATAACGTACCATCCTTATCAAACTCCTATTTTTGCTCAAGAATATATGAACAAGTGAACTGTTGAAGGATACCTTGAGAAGAAAGATGAGACACTAAGGCATTAGACATATATTCTTTGGCATTATCCGAACAAAGAGCACGAATAATGACATCGAATTGTGTCTTAATCATTTGAAAAAATTGAGTGCTAACAGGGAGTACATCGGACTTCCTATGTAAAAGGTAGACCCAAGTACAACGGGTATGGTCATTTATAAATGTCACATACTATCGAGCACCTGACAGAGCAGTAACAGGAGAGGGTCCACAAAAATCAGTGTATTAGGTCAAATGGCTTAGGTGACTGGTGCATACGAGAAACATAACTAGTCCTAACATATTTCGATAAGGAACATATAACACAGTCAAGTTTACTACCAACACAAGCATTGCTCAAAG